ATTTTTTTAAAATTACTAGCTTAATCACTACTACACCAAATTTAGTCAATAAATGAGAAAAAAAGATAACCTGATTCCCTGATCAAGCTATAGAATTTTAGAAATGCAATAATAGTCATCTTGTGAATGCTTTCTGTATTACTGATAAATTGCAAATTGAAATGAACTAGAAAAACAGGGGCATTGCATTTAAAAATAAAGCTTTACAAAAAATAAAAAATAAAGCTTTATGACTGTCCTACCTTTCCTACAATGAAAAAGCTTGTGGCAAATAAGAATACTCAAAGTTCACACACTGTAATTACACAAGAAAAAATAAAAACAAATTTTAATTTTTCAATATAAAATGTAAGTAAATAAATTTAAGCAAATATATTTTCAAGACCAACAAATACACTGCTCTAAACTTACAATGGCTACATTTCAAAATTTCAAATAATGCTAACAACAAGCAGAATTTTTATATTCTATCAAAAGAAGGAATAGGCATTTTTTAAAAAAAGAAAAAGAAGACCACAACTCTGAAAAGTAACTTTTAAGGTAATTCCAATAAGATTTGACGTTAGTATTTGAAAATAAGCTTTTCTTTAGCATCCAGCTTCTGGGAAAGCAAAGGAGCATGACATAAAATTAAGTTTTCTTTTTAGAGTCAGAATTCTAAATCCCAGATCAGAGAAAAATACGAGCTATGTCTGCTACAGATAGGGTTTCACTAAGAAGGCTTGTTTTTAGTTTATTCTTGGTAAGGAACTCCCGTAGACAGCTACACAAAAAGAATACTGTATGATACCAACACCTAATTATGGCATAAAAAACTAAATCCGTCTACAGCCAAAAGAGAAGAAATTTCACTCTGTTCCTCAAGTTGTTTTATAAAAGGCTTTTAATGTACTCAGGTGATGGTTTCTAAACAAAAGTAGTTTATGTTAACATAAAAGACAAGAAATCAAGAAACAAAGCTCTGATATTTCAGTTACCAAATACAATTACACTTCTATATAATCAGAAGCACCAAAACGAGACACTGGTGGCAGGAGCCAGGGACTGTTAGTTCCTCATTCTCTTCCCCCACATCATCATTAAAACGCTGACAATATAAACCTAGGTATAACCACATATTTCCTGGGGCTTTCAGTTCCACCATGAAGCTGAGCTGAAATCACGTCATCTGCACATGTATATATCTAAATCTTATTTTATAAGTCTAGGGCTCTGGTTGGTAACACCGCAGGTTTCAGAGTGTTTAGAAATGAAAGGGTTATCTTCCCTGACCAAAGCTAGTGTCCTCCCAACAGCCGTTAAGACAGGGACTAATCACAGCTCGAAGACGGGCTGCTCCATGAAGACTCTTCAGTCTACCAGGTAGTTAGCCAGTTTTTCTATGATTCCACCGCATCTTGCTCAAAGCTGTACTACATAACTATGTACTTTCTCTCTTACATGTCTCTGGAAACACACCTTACTCACATTTACGTCGGAAGTATCCCAACTCAGCATGCACAGAAAGAAAGAGAGGAGGGAGACAGAAGAACTCCACAAGTTGCGCACACTTAGGATACAGCGAGCGGCTGGGAGTGAGGGAATGTCTCAGAGGCACAGCACCCGCCCAGGGTGCATGAGATCCTAGATTCCATTGCCAGTGCCACCCAAAAAAATTTTTTAATTAAAAATAAAAAGTAGCGGCACTGCCCTTCCAGATACTCCTGTTGAAGTGATTAAGAAGAAAAGCCCAGAAGTCTGGGAAGTTGTTCCTGTGTGCACGCAGCAAGCACAGCAGTTCCACTCATCACTGCCAGCTTTCACTCTTAAACAGAAAACAGTGCCTCTGTTCTCTGCGTGTTTGTGGCCAACTTCCAACTTGCAAAGTTGCTCCTAACCAAAATTTATCTTAGGTGGATATTTTCATACTTGTGAGAATGTATGTCCTTGATATTTACATCAAGGCTATTCAATTTGTTATTCTGTATGGGAAAAAAGACCTTATTTTAACATAAAATAAATAAGGACGTAATAAAAATTTCAATTGGTTGATAACTAGATTTTTTCCTTAAACAGTATGACATATTCAAAAATCTCCTCTAAAAGACATGATTACTACTAGTAACAGTTTGAGTCTCTCCTGTCTCTCCTTCAAAATAAATACACGTAATGTTCTGGAAAAAAATGCAAAGTGCACACTGGCGTGAGAGCCCGGAGACCCGCAGCCTTTTTCCCACACGAGTCACTCTGTCCGCAATCTGAGTGAGCCAGCAGCCGCAGCATCCCCATCTGCCCACCTCTGAAGGGGTTAGACAGCATCAGCAATGCACAGAAGGGCTGTTTGAGCCTCAGGGATTCAGTGTGGCTGGGGGAAGAGGGACGAAAGATCATGAAGAAGATGCACTTCTTAAAAAGAGCTCAAAGACCATTAAACTACACGATTTGTAAGGACATTTAATACCCCAAAATTCTATTATTCTATTTTTTAATCTTATTTGAGTCAGTTCTTAGTCTCACATCTTAAACTGAAGAAACGGCTGGGCGTAGTGGCCATGGCTGTAATCCTAGCACTCAGGAGGTAGAGGCAGGAGCACAGCTGCAAGTCTGAGGCCAGCATGGGCCACAAAGTGAGCTCACAGCAAGACCCTACCTCAAAAAAAAAAAAAAAAAAAAAACCATCGGGCTGGTGAGACGGCTCAGTGGTCCAAAGCACCTACTTAGAACAAGCTTAGCAAAGCACAGGGACCGCGGTTCAATCCCCCAGCACCACATGCCAGCCAGCCCCACCCCCTGGTGGGCTGAGCTGGCCACACACATAAATAAATAAATAAATAAATAAATAAATAAATAAAATTTAAAAAAAAAAAACATAATTTCTGCAGTCAGTAATGGTAACTATTTGTAAGTCACCAAACTGTCCTGTAACTATAAAGAAACATGGCCTGCAGAGAGCCAAGACTGGGAACCATTTTCCTCTTAAGTGAATTATCCTACTATAATTTTAGTGGCACAAAATTTTAGTATTATAAAAATTACAAAGACATATTTAAGGCACTGAATTATCCTTGAATACCTGTACTATAAACTGTAACTCTCTTCTTTCTACATCCCACTGTTCTGCTTGCAATCGGAACTCTTCCAGGGCTGTCTCTCTGATACGTGACTCCATCCCAGTCTTCTCCAGCTGATGTTTTTCCAGCACGTCCTTTATACAAATAAAATCTTGTTTTACTATTGCATTAATAAAGTGATCTTTCATCCTTCAACACCCATAAGTGTACAGATGGGGCTTCCTCTACCTATAGACAATTAAAAGCTATTACAATTCATGTTAAACTCTCCATGAAACAACATTTTGATTATCAGAACATAGGAAGCAAAGGCTACCATTTATGCAACTTATATATCTGTCTATACATTTATATCTCACCCAATTTTTCTAAAATATTTAACTTCAGAGTTATTTCTAAAATATTTAACTTAATATGACACAGGCAAAATAGATTTCAATTAATGTAGAAATCTCTACTTATGAATAAATTGCTTGGATAATCCTTGATAATTTATATATAAATCTGGCAGAGAATAACATATTTCCAAAAGGGGGGAAATAAGGAATTTTGTTGCACAAATCAAAATAAGGAAACGTCTAAATGTTAAAAATTTGAAAATAAGACTTTTATGTTTAGACTAATTTCTAATTTCTCAAACAATTTTGTTTTTCTTTTATATCTTCTAACTATATGATATTTACAAAACCTAATTTGGTTCACATGTTTAAAATATAAAATGGAGGGGCTGGGGAGATGGCTCAGTAGAATAAGCGCTTGCCTGGCAAGGGCAAGGGCCAGAGTTCAATCCCCAGTTCCGCCAAAAAATAAAATAAATAAATAAAAAATAAAATCAAATATAAAATGGGGTTTTCCTGAGAAGACCAATTTTCTAAAAAACCTATACAGTTTTTAATCATCTCCGTTAGCAGGAAGAGAAAATTCTGTAGTTTACAGGAGAAAGCCTCAGTGTCCATGTGGATCTATACAATGAACATTACCCTCATAACTTTCATTAACAGAAAACCACCACCAGAGCCTAGAGGCTTTTTTTCTCCCGGAAAGTGTGCAGCAGTTCCTATTCCAGGCCCAAATCTCCAAAAGTCTGAGGTAAGATCAGTTTAAAGCCAACAGCATAAAATCTCAGCAGAGTTATCCTGAGCAGCAGAGGCCCTATCAAATGAAAGAATACATCCAGAAATAAAATGGTAAACAAAAGAAATGATCTGGGACTACTGACAAAACCCAAAGTGTGTCTAGGAACCCTTGCCAAAACTTCGACATTCAGCAAATCTTCTTGTAAAATTATTTTTTTGGTGAAGATACATTTCCAGAATTTAGAAAACCTAGTACTAGTGGTAAATACAAAGCATCTTTATCATGTTTGTTGGTGTTGTTTATAACTTTAAAATGGCAAATAGGAACAACTCAAAATCTACCTTCTAAGTAGCAGCAACTTGAACCCTAAACATACATTTCAGGGTAAAAAGAACAAATAATTCACAATAATTTTAGTAAAAGTTAAATATCTTGCACTTCCTAAGTCTACACAGAATATACCCCTCATAATAATGAAAATCATATCAAACATATTTTTTACATTTATTATATTCAAACTAAAATCTAGAGCCCATATTTCTAAAATTCACATTTTTCATGCTGACAGACCAAAGGGCTACAGGCTTTTATCTTTTTCAAGCATGCTCACATAAGTGTTTTTGGTTTTTTTTTTTATACTTTAAGACTTCAAACTTTTTCGCAAAATGCAGCACTGTGTTACAGAAGAGACTGGCAAACAATGCCCACAGCAAGGAAAGGAAGGGGGGAAGGAGGGCAAAGGATGCCAAGGAATGACTTCAACAATGTGCAATACATCTCAAGTAATATTACATGTAGGAAAATTCCTTTATGAAAATATCCTACTGTGTTGTTTTTTAAATGAGATTTTTGAAACCTGTTATAGTCAGTCATGGCGGCATAGGCTACACAGGAGGCTGAGGTAGGAGCGGGGCCTGAGCCCTGGTTTGAGATCAGCCTGGACAACAAAGAAACACCCTGTCTCAAAACCAAATAAAACAAAATAAAAACAACAATAAAAATTTTTACCTGTAGGGTTTTTTCTAGTCTGCTTTTTTCCTTCATAAGTAAATCATACCCTCGATTACAATTTTGAATTATGTTATCTCTTTCCTCCAAGTCGTGTTCAAATCTCCTGCATTCTTCTTTCCATTTATGCTGGGAAGTCTGAAATATTTTCTCAATCTCATTTGCTTTTCCTTGAAGTTCCGAATTCTGCGCTATTAAAAACAGAATAGAAGGCAGGTATATTTATAATCATGAGTTCCATCAGTAGGCGTTTACAGGCTTAGCACTGGAGCTAGCTGCATTCCCAGCACATTAGGACAAAACACTGAGCCTTTCCATCTCAGTAAACTCTTGAAACCTACTCTCTAATTTCTCACTCTTTACCCCCCAACTAAAGTGACTGGGCTCTGAAGGAGTGGGGCATATTCTGTACGGTACACCTGGCTTGGGTGTACCTCTAGGGTCAATTGCAGTTCTAAAGCTTTTTCTCCTATCGAAGAAAGCAAATGTTTTGAAATAGATCAGGGCTGCCACGCACACCATCAGAGATACAGAGGGAGGTCAGGAAAGAGAGGAAGAGGAGGGGAGCAGTGGAGGTAATGAGAGTGACTAGAACCAGTACATGCATGCACCAGTAAGCGAAGCGAATCTCACTCTGTAGTACTATGTACCAATTAAAAGTAAGGTCATGGCACACAAGACTACTTTTTTTAAAGACTCAATTACAAGATTATAATTTTGATATCTGACTACTGGTAACACACTTCTTGCAACACATCTTACTCGTGAGATTCACTCTCTAAATTTCCTAGGCTGGGTTTAAACTTCTGATCCTCCTGCCTCAGCCTCCCAAAGTCCTGGGATTACAGGTGTGCACCACCACACCCAGGTAGAACAGTTATTGAGAAACCCTCAACATCAGTATCATTGGGGTTTTCCCTTGGCTTAATCAGGTGACCCACAGAAAAAGTAATAAAAAATTATTTCTTACCAGTATCAATAACCAAAGGTACCTGGCCAAAACTAAGAAAAAAAAAAAAAAAGATACATCTCAGCCTTGTTATTTTGAGACAGGATCTTACACAGTAGCTAAGTTGCTCAGGCTGGCCTTTCACATGGGATCCTCCTGCCTTAGCACCACTGAAGTGCTCAGCTTGCAGGCATGCACCACCTTGTCCTGCTGTAACAGTAGCAATTCTCACACCTGGCTAATTAAAAATGTCACCTGCAGTGTTTCCTAAACATATAGACAACTCTGAAGTCAGAGGTTTGACTCAGATTATATGTCCCTAGTGGACTAAAATGTGTTTAAAAAAACAAAAATTCTTTCATGATTCTACTATTTATTCATGGAACAAGTGGCCTCAGAGCTGAGTGACATCAGGGCACAGTGTTGCTCACCTACAGCCGCTTAAGAGGCTGAAGCAGGAGAACTGTAATTTCAAGGCCACCAGGGGCAACTCTGCAAGACCCTGTCACAAAACAAAAGGGGCTGAGGTGGAAGATCAGTGGTGGAGCACCCATCTAGCACATGCAAAGGTTTTGAGCTCAAACCCCAGCAACACAAAAATAAGCAGACAAAATAATCTAAAGAAGGTAAATGCTCAACTCATTGCCGGATAGTAGGGAAAGTCTGTCAGAGGTCAGCCAGTGCACCCAAACCCAGCCCTCAGACCGCACGCGGAGGAGACACAGCACTAAGAATGATGTAGAGGCTACACCCCTTAACACGGGAAGAAGCAGCAGTGGGCTTACTGTAGAGGTCTTCTTGGATCCTCTGTGCCTCCGCTAACCTTTCTTCAGCAGCCCGTCTTCCGAGACCAGCTTCCTTTCTAGCAACAGCCAAGTCATACTCCAGACTTTGTCGCAGTGCTTCTCCCTTTTCAACCTCAGACCGTAGCTTGGCAATCTGGCTTTCATAGCTTGACAGCTACAAACAGATTTCTGAGCTCATGAACCAATATTACAGCATGTCTCCAAGATTACAAGATCATGAATTCATGAATTCAAACATTTCTTGGAAAATCTGCTTCTGTGATGTCTAAGAACTTAATCTGTATTTCTGAAAGGAAGCACTACCTTACCAATTGACAGTTTCTCAGGTAAGAGAAGCAACTAGAATGAAAATGAAAAAAATTCCTTAGAGGAAGAAAAACCACATTTTAAACAGAAACAGTCATAACTCGAAAATAAAAAAACAGTTGGTGGCATTTATGGTGACACATGTCTGTAATACCAGTACTCATCCAGGAGGCTGAGGTGGAAGGAATGCTGTGAGTTCAAGGCCATCTTGGGCTACACAGTGAGTGCAAAGTCCTATAGATTAAGACACCCTATTTCAAAACACACACAAGGGGCCAGGGAGATGGCTCAGTAGGATAAGCACTTGACTGGCAAATGCAAGGATCTGAGTTCAATCCCTGGGTCCGTCAAAAAAAAAAGACAAAACACACACACAAAAAAAAACCACACACACAAAAAAAAAACACCACACACAGAGGACACACACAGTAATCATTTTAAAAGTCATTTTCTCCTTTACTCTCTATTCCCTAAATTATGTAATCAAAAAGCAAACTCCAGGGCTGGAGAGATGGCTCAGTGGTCTAAAGCACCTACATGAAACAAGCTTGGCAAAGCACAGGGACCGCGGTTTGATCCCCCAACACCACAAGCCAGCCAGCCCCGCCCCCTGGTGGGCTGAGCTGGCCACACACACACACACACACAATAAATAAATGTAAAAAAAATTTTTTTTAAAAAAGCAAACTCCATCAAAGTAGAGTTTGGTAAATAATGTCTATGTTATTTCTCTTGATTATGACATCACTAATAGAGTTTAAAGTAATAAAAATGCAATTTGGCAGAGATTTTAACAAACTATTACCTAATTTGTGATGTTCAACAAAGTACTGTGGCAACCACAGTTTCTAGCACAGACCTAGATTATTTTCTAAGGTCCTTTCTCATTCTAAAATTAGATGACTGGATCGGAGACTGACTAATAATATTAGGTACTTGCTTAAGTGTTAAGTACAGTACAAAATACTAAAACAAGGGGCTGGGAAGATGGCTCAATGGAATAAGTGCTTCCCTGGCAAGCGCAAGGGCCTGAGTTCAATTCCCAGTTCCACCAAAAACTAAATAAATAATAAAAAAAGAAACTGGAGATGTAGCTTAGTTCTGTCCCGAGTTCTATCTCCAAAAGACCCTGAGTTCTAGCCCCAAAACACACAAGGAAAAAAATTCTAAAGCCAGGTCCAATTGCACACACCAGTAACCTCTGCTCTGAGGAGGCTAAGGCAGGAGAACTGAGAGTTTGAGATAACCTGGGCAATTTAGCAGGATCCTATCTCAAAATAAAATTTAAAAATGGCTTAGGATGTAGTTCAGTACTCCCTAAGGTCCATCCCCAGTAACACATGCCCACACCCACACACAAATTCTACACTCAAATCTACTTTAAGAGATCATTCCATGATTGAAGCAATACAGAAAAACTACACTATGACTTCAAAAGGGTCTAGTGTATGAATCCTTTAGTCATCAAAAATGTTTATCGATTACTATTTTTGTTCAGGTCAAACTTAGTAATTAAATCTAAGAAACATACAAAGTAAATATAATTTATTACAGTTGTACTTTAACAGTACCATAAAATTTCACTCTATTTTAAATGTTCATATAATTTCAAGTGAAAGAATGGTAAACTCATAAAGGTTAAGCATGGAGTTTGTAATATGAAATAAACATAAAACTTAAGTTCAATGTTTAACACTAAAAGAAAAAAAAAATGTACCTCTGCATTGTGCTTAGTTGTCATTTCTAATTTTTCTTTCTTTGCCCGATGGAGCTTCTTTCTAAGATCAGCAGTAATATCCAAGTCTGTTTCATTTTTAATCATTTGTTTTACATCTGAGGAGGTATTCTTCAACCTAGAATACAAGATCATCATAAAATATAATTCTCATAAAATTCATAGTATTTGATACTTCTAATAGTTTTTTTCCATAATTTTATTGAGAGACAAATAGCAATGAGACAGTTTCAAATCAAATTGGTAGGACAGTTTCAATAATTAACACACTGCATACTCTTTTCCTAGTGGTTATTTGCTGTACAAAATGCAGACATGATATCCTATTTACAAACACTATTACAACAAATCCCTCTATTTATTAAGAGAATGTAACTATATATCTATCCTAACC